TCAAAAACAGACTAGACGAAGCTATGCAGGAGCATATGTTCAGTCTTAAAATGCCTAGCAAATTACGGACCAGGCAATAATTCCAGCAGCTATCTCAATCAATCGTCAGCTATTTAAAGATCGGGTTCCAAAGGCCGGATCCCTTGTGAATCAAGTCACGAAAAGTTCAAGAATCGGAAACAGGCTATGGGCCTATTTCTTCAACGCCGATACTTCTATTCTATTCTATTCTTTTCTATAGATGTTTCACTTGAAGTCTTTAGCCTTCATTCACGTTTATTATTGACCAAAATTACTCTAATTGTTTGCGGACTTCGAGCTTGGTAGGAACTTTTATTTCCTATTGTTCTGATCTCATTTGTAGTCTGTAATGTGGTCATAAAGTTATCTTTCAAAACATGAAAGAACTTTAATGACAATACTAACCATAGACTAATGTTGACTGTTTAACAAATTTTGCGTCAAGCTTTGTGCTGCGTCAAGCTTTGCTCCACCGTGCTTTGTTTTATTTTTTTTTTGTGAAAGTCCTCTACTATTTTTCTAGCAATAAAATTACTTTAAAGAACAAATTATTATCAATTATCAATAAATGCAGCCAGAATTATGGATAAACATTTTTCTTCTCTGTTGGTTTTCATTGAGTAGTCGCACGGTTTGTCTTCCGGTTTGCTATTGCCTGACCAGTTTCATGTAAATAAATAACCCTGATGGACCTAAACTACTGTCAATAATTCAAATAAAACATTCCGGTCAGAAAATAAACGATGCTCGTAAAAATCAGCGTCCCAATATTGTATTAAACCTTTGAATCCATCATTTTCATCGTTGCAATAGATCACGAGCATCCAATTTGTAGCTATCAAATTCAAGAAAATTTTAATCAAAATTCGATCAAAAGACTAGTGTGAATTTTATATAAAATCAGGCAATCTCGATTGCCTGGTGATTGTGGCAATCGCGATGAGTAATTTCACCATCAGATACACGTCAATATAATGACCTCTGCAGCACTTACAACTATTTTGATAAGTTGGTTCGTGCAGCCCTCATCATTCACATAACTAAAAATTCACACAGAAAATAACCAAATTACAGTTGTCGAGGCTCATTCAATGAATAACAGCTATAAAGTCAAAGCCGTCTGTGGCCTCAGACATTAGAGTATGTATAGTGTGGTAAAATTCTTGCTATCAAAGAGAAGGGTTATACGGATACAAAGGTGGGGCACGGAAGACGAGACATAATTTTAAGTCACCTATATAATTGGCAATTCAAACCTATTCGTTGGCAATTTTAGTAAATGAAGGTATGAAGCTCAAGATATTAGAATTAGAAATTACAATATCTCACAATTCGGGTAGCCAGCATAATTATATTATTCAGTTCTCAATAGTGGAAGTCTGTTTTCATTTATGTCAATCAAATATAGCTACTTTTCCAGTACTATATTCACATTATATTTTCTCACGAACACAGCGTTAGGTGATTTGTGTTCATTGATGCAACAGTCGAGTAAACAAAACTGAATAGGAGAACAAAATAATAAATAAAACAACCTGAGATCATGTACAAAAATTCAAATTAGAACCGTGCGTCAACTTTATGCTAACAATTAATGTAAATAAATCGAAGCAATTTTTTCAGAGCATTTCAGCAAACATAAATAAAACATAAATTTAGAGGCTTGTAAAATAAATAAACTCAAAAATCAGAAATACAGCACAGTGTAAAAATTTATTGTCTAATTGACTCGTTGATGTTTATACGCTTATCGTTTGTCTAGTGTTAGGAGGCAGAGTCGACGCTCGTTAGCTCGATCTTAATTTCTATTGCTTTAACCTTGCCGGAGTGAAGACCTCCTGCTCAAACCATTGTTCAATCTTGCTTTTCAGTTACTTAATTTGAGTTTGTGCGAGTGTGTTTTCATTTTATTTTGTTCCATTTAAACGCATGTTGGAACTTCTTTGTTCACTCGATTAAGATCTTGTTTAACTGGCTTTACGCCAGTGCTTGGAACCCGTAGGGTTATTGGCTCCTTGGAGCTTTGGTGTTAACCGATTTTGTCACATGCCTTATAGTGCTGTGAATTACCTTGCATGCTTGCATGCGCTTAACTCTTTAAGTACGAGCGAGCACTCTTTATACTGTTTTCACTATTTTCTTTCTAATAGTTCTCTACATGAGAACTCTTGTCTAGGGTTCCTCAACGGAAACAAATAGGTTCGTTATTTTGATTATTGGAAACTGTTATCATTATTCTGAATTTACTGAAACCATACTGAATCCATTGCGTTATAACTTTGAATCCATTAATATTAGGCTGAAGTTGGTTTTCTGTCTTATTCAGATAAGAATCCACCCCACCGCCTCCACTTGGTCTTCAACTCTGCCGTTTCTGTTTATTTGAGCTGAACTACTCCTTGCTTACTACGTTCTGTTGCCACCGGCAATATATGGTGAGAATTGGAGAGAGAGACATATTCACCTGAAACAGTGACTCGTTCAATTGAAATTAAATATTGTCTTCTAGACTCCTAACGTTCGAACTTGTACTTATGTGCGAACCCATTCTACTTCAGTGCACGAGTTCCTCATCGTACTTCGTGCTTCTCGTTTCCTCCTGGCTTCGTTCTGCGAACCAATTGTCTTTTCGGAACCACAACAATAAAAGTTTCAACGCTTTCTTTGTTCTTTAATTTCCAATTGTACCAAAATTCAATAACAGATTGCATAACATTATAAATAAACAATTTAATTTACATTATTACTTAAAATGCCCCTGTACAGCTCTGCATGGTATGTGTAAGCACGACTAATTGATCCACGTTACTCTCGTGGAATCACAAATGTGAATGAAAAATATACATTTAAAAATTACATTTTAATAACAACACTTCTAAAGAATCCAGTGTCTCCAATGTTGAAGATGTACAATGAATTTCTTATTTTATTTTCGAATATTAAAAAATTAATTTTTCAATATTTTTTATAAAATAAAAAAAATTCAAAATTATTTATCCTGTCAATTGATTCATGCATTGCCTCCGACTTCACACAAGTGTGCAAAATTTCAGATCAATTGGACAGGTAAAAAAAGTGAGTCAAATATCAGTTATAAAATTTGTAGCTGACAAAATTATTTTTACAATTTTTTAATATTGAAAAAATTTAATTTTAAAATCATTTATTTTATCATTTGATTCTTGCATTGTCTCCAATTTTACGCAAGTGTGCAAAATTTCAGATCAAAAGGATAAGTAGAAGTGTGTTAAATTTCGATTATAAGATTTGTAGCAGACAGACAGACAGACAGACAAACTAGAAGTAAAGTTAAAGAGAAGTGTTGTAAAAAGTACAACGGATTTTTACGCGAGGTCACGTAAGTGCATGGTGACTAAGAACCAAAACAAGAAATAACTAATCTAATATCTAAAAAAGCATTACACCCTCTTACGCAATAAAAGAATGGAAAGGAATTTAATTGCGTTACTCAAAGAGGATATGTCCTCAAGTGGCTAAAACTATGAGAACAATAATTATTATCCTCTTTATATACGAGTTCCTTAGCAACTTTCCCTTTTAAATAAACACAGGGCTGTTCTATTCAATTCGTGAAGTCAAGATTAGTTGGTTGATTGACCTTGACATTTCTTTATTAAGATCGTAACACGATACGCTCGTATAATAAAGTTATCAAAAAATGAATTAAATTTTGGCAATAGTTTATTTATTAACCAGGATTGGTGTTAATAATGATAAATGTGCTAACACTTTTTAAAAGTGTTTCATCAATATTACAATGTTCAAAATACTGTTCCTATCTCCTTCTTTGACTGCGCTTTCCTCTCTTTCACTGTTATTAACGCTTTATTCATCTTTTATCATAGGACATTTCTACTTTTTTCAGCATATGGCAAGGGGTTTTTACAGTTCATAAAACTCCTTTTTTCCTAGTCGTAAGTTTTTCTGCGTTTATCAATCGTTTCTGCAGTAGTTCAGATTTGATCTGACGCACAATTCAGGTAAAAAATAAAATAGACAGTATTTAGTTGAAAAATAAACGTAAAGGAATATAGGTGACAAACTTTTGTCCTACAAAAACTGAACAAAATTGCAGCAAATTGTGTTCATTGGGGCGATATCGGTGTTCAATCTAAATTATTTTGTTCCACATTAATAAGTTATATCAAAAGTAAGACAGACCACCGAGCGAATGAATGCCTGTTGGAAACTTTCATTTACCGTTCACAAGTCATTTGTGATCCCTCGAAGGTCTCATGCAGTCTTGTAAGCAAAAATAGGGAAACGTAGACCTGAAAACTGGTGAAGTCATCGGAACCAAACCATTTTTATTTGTTTAAAAATACAAATTACTTCGGTATTGGTGTCCGGGAACATTTAGAGTTCAGGTATTTGTAAAACAGAGGATAAACCAATAAATCCATTCAGTATAACAGTTTTATTGTGACGGAATTTTTCCTTACCTATGCACACATACGCCATCGACTAGAACTATAATTAATCAATTAATTATAGTTCTAGCGAAATCTACAAATTGCCTCTCCAATCACAATAATCAAATCACCAACAACCAAGCACAATTCATTCACGTCAAGAAAATTGAAATAAAGAACAAAAGAATACAAAAAAAAAAATGATGTGATAAAACACATATGAGATGACGTAAATGTATATATGGAGGTATTATCTGAAAATTAAGAAAGATCATTGATGATTCTTAAATGATGATCAGGAACACGACGCCAGTCTCGATCTTCTGTCAAATGATCATTTGTGTTATTCACCAATATTAAAGACATGTCGAATTCTGCGAAAAAATAAATAAATGAAAAAATATAATTGCAACAACTACAACTTTATTTTATGTAGGTATCAACAGCTGAATATTCTGTCAACAGTTATTTTCTAACTTCGATTCAATTATATGTTAGTAATTAGAAATTTCATCTTTGGAACAGAATTGGGCGCTGCTACTTACTTATTAGCTCATGATTTTACAACACAAAGATTTAAAAAGTACCATTTACCTGTTGGAACTGCAGAAGGTGTAGATGCCGTTGATGCAGTTCCACTCAATGTAGATGTGCCGTTCATTGACACGGACACTGCAGCAGACGCCACCGTTGTAGATTGAACAGTTGAAGTAGAAGATGTAGAAAGTGTAGAGTTCGTTGTTAGATTGGTAGTTGTTGATGCATTGGTAGAGGCAGTCATGTCAGGAGTCGCGGTGTGAGTGGTGGACACGTTGGATGATTGTGTCGTTGAAGTGGTTGAGGAACTTGAGAAAGGTGAAGTGGTAGTCGATTGTGTAGTGTTGCTGGTAGAGGTGGTGCTGGTAGAGTTGTTGATGGTAGACGTTGTACTGGTAGAGTTGGTGCTGATAGGGGTGGTGGTAGAGTTGGTGCTGATAGGGGTAGTGGTAGAGTTGGTGCTGATAGGGGTGGTGGTAGAGTTGTTGCTGATTGGGGTGGTGTTGGTAGAGTTGGTGCTAGTGTTCGTGGTTTGTGATGACGAGCCTGCAATACGGAAGTTTGTAATGATGGAATTCGATGACTCCAGTCATTCACATGGAATATATTGCGAATTTAACGGTCACAAATTCATTTCAAATACGGAATACATATATGCATATATGTAAAAAAAAATGCACGGATTACAATTTAATATGCTATTGAGAAAGGTCGCATTGGCTCAACATTTCCAATACTGAGTAATTCCCTAATACAAGCATATCATCGGGTGGTGCGCAAGGCAGATGCGACAGCCAGTCAGCCACAAGCCATCAGATCAGCTGTGCAATACGAGTGTAACAGTATTTTCTGGTAGGTCCGTTTCGTCTCACATGACTACGTTTCAAAACATTAATTGGAAAATTCAAGGCATCTCACCTGCACAAGCCGCCACTTCCGCCAGCTTCGCCGCCAGCTCCGCCGCTGTCAGACTCGCCCCGCCGTCAATGGAGTATTGGGCCGCCACGCAGCCCACCGTCAAGCCCGCCGCCGCCCCACCGCCGCTCACCAGAGTCTCGCCCGCCGCACACCTCATGACAGCCTCGTAGCGCGCGGCCGTTGTGTTCCATTGAAACTGTGAAATCTACAAGAAAATTAAATTGATGTTTAGCATAATGTAAATAATTCAATTAATATTATGAGAAAAATAATACAACTTAAATTTATGACTCATACAAAATCGTCAAATTTCGATATTTACAATTTATGTATGGGATTTTGATAACGCCATATCCAATCAACAAATTTACGTATAACTGGTAAATATTCTGCTGCGCGAAGACATCTTCCAAAATTTAATGACAATAGAAATAATATACGTCTAAAAATTACTTTTTAAAAACAACACTTCTAAAGATTCCAGTGTCTCAAATGTTGAAGATGTACAATGAATTTCTCATTTTATTTTCGAATATTAAATAATTAATTTTAAATTTTTTTTATATATACAATTTTTTACAAAATTATTTATTCTGTCAATTGATTCATGCATTGCCTCCGACTTGTGCAGTGTCAAACTCCATTATATTTTAATACAAAAGAATTTTATACTCACCTCAAAGGATGATGAATTCGGGAATATGCGATTCAGTTGAGTTGTGATATTGGCGTCCAGATTACAAGCTGGGGACAAGGATAAACATAATAAATTCTGTTATTCCCTAGAGTAAGTCAGTGGGTATATTTAGAGCACTCATTGCTCTTCATTTCACTTCAGGGCGGGTAACAACTTCGGATATAATGGTGGAAAGTTGAAAGAGCATGGAGAAGAAAACGGGATCGTTACAATTTATTTATCATGGGTATATCTGTTCATTTCAATTTTTATTTAAGCAATATATTACTCACACACTTGATGCGATATCGTCAGGCTTTGAAATCATATCTTCCTGTTCTAGAGGAACGAACAAGAAATTCACGCATCTCACCGCGACACTCTGTCACATTCTGCAGGAACGTCAGAAGAGACGTCGTCAGCGACGCGTTGTTGACTCTGTACTCGGAAGAGAACAAGCAACCGATGGTCATGTTTTGGCGGTAGTCCTGTCCGATGCTGTAGTGCCCTTGCTGGCCGGGGCATTGAAGTTCCATCTTGTAACCGAGGCTCGAATTGACGAACTGAGGAGAAATAATTGCAAGTGAATAGAAACACTGTATAACCACTATTTTATTCACTCATTGATTTAAAGGATTCCAATTAGCGCATCCAACGATTCATTTGGCTACGACGAAACAATTGTTGCAGGTGAAATAGTTTACTTGATATTGTGCAGAGGTGTTGAAGATCCTCAGCAGCTCATGCTCAGTAGCGTTGTCCAAGGTACAGTCTGCGACCAAGAAGTTCATTTATTTGACAGTAAAGTTCATTAAATTGTTTCATATGTACCGTTTGTAAGCATGGTACCATCATCCTGGTATCCTCTAAGGAGGACTGCCGACACTACTTACGGAGCGGACATGTAAATGGACCGAGATAAGTAGTATAGAAAAGGGGTGTATCGTCACACTTTCCATAAACAGCTTAAATCATAGGTCACCACAATCATTTACCCTCAAATCTTACCCAACAAAATTAA